ATTTTGAAGTTATAATTAAATTAACTTAAATTTCTTATTATCCTAATGGCAGTTCAATAGGACAGTTTCTTTAAGTATTGCATATTTTTCCAGGAATCCATACATGGTCCTTTGTTAATGTTGTCATCCATTAGATTAGTAAAAACAGCCAAAATGAGATGAATGGCTGTATTCAATGATTTTTACCTACTTTTTGTCCCAGACAGTGAATTTGCCTTGACTAGGTAATTACCTTTTGGAAATAAAAAAAAAAAAAAATGAAACCATTACCCTGGCAGATTACCAATTTATATGAGACTAGAAAGCAGCACATTTGCAAATATGGAATTTACACAATGAATGGGAAATAAAGAAACATGACTTTTAGTCCTTAGATCAGTTTTTATCCAGCCATAACTATAGTAATATAGAACCTCTTTGGACCTATTTCTTTATCCTGAAGAGAATGTTTCCAACAAGGGGTTGGAAATCTGCATCCTTAAGGCCTTAAGTGCAGGTCCTTCAGTGCAATTTTGACTGATCCAAATTTTACAGAACAAATTCTTTTGTTTTTATTTACTTTTTTGTTTTTTAGAGACAGAGTCTCACTGTGTCACCCTTAGTCAAGTGCTATAGCATCACAGCTCACAGCAACCCCAGCTCTTGTGGCTTAGGCAATTCTCTTGCCTCAGCCTCCCGAGTAACTGGGACTACAGGTGCCCACCACAATGCCCGGCTATTTTTTGTTGCAGTTTGGCCGGGGCTGGGTTCGAACCCACGACCCTCAGTATATGGAGCTGGTGCCCTATACACTGAGCCACAGGTGTTGCCCTATTTTTTTATTTTTTAGTAAGAGAAGTATTTATTTCCAGGCTGGGCGCAGTAGCTCACACCTGTAATCCTAGCACTCTGGGAGACCAAGACCGGTGAATTGCTTGAGCTCACAGGTTCCAGACAAGCCTGAGCAAGAGCAAGACCCCCATCTCTAAATATAGCCAGACATAGTGGCGGGTGCCTGTAGTCCCAGCTACTCAGAAGGCTGAGGCAAGAGAATTGCTTGAGCCCAAGCCTTTGAGGTTGCTGTGAGCTATGACGCCATGGTACTCTACTGACGGCAACAAAAAAAAAAAAAGAAAAATATTTATTTCCAAATACCATATGCCCATATGCATGGGGAAAATCAGAAGAGTAATTACCCAGTATTTCAATGATGGTCAGATATACTTATATCTGCCTTTTAGAAAGGAGGGGGAGAGTCTGGAATATAGGTGCAACAACTGGTTGCCAGGGAAGATAAATAAATGGGAAAAACAGATTGACTTGTAAATTAACCTGAGAGACAGGTGTTGTGTTTCAAATGATTTGAGTCAGGTCTGCTAACATTTGAGGGGAGGAAAGAAGTCATTTGCCTCCTTTGATCAGGTCAGTCTGGTTTTATATAGGTAAAGTGAAAGCCCCTTCCAAATGCTTTCTGATTTTGAATGGCCTTTAATTCAAAGTAGTCTTTAAATCAAGTAGTCATATATTAGGATTAAATTCCTTAGCTCTTTCAATCCCCCTGTCTGGAATGTCCCTAAAAGTTTCACACATTAGAGATACCATTCCATCAGTGTTTTCAGACACCCAGGGATCGTGGCTAGTGGGGCACAGTTAGAGGCTGCAGTAGCAAAGGATGAGTGGATCCCTAGAAAAGGTTCTGTGCCTCAGGAACAAAATCATTTTTAAGCAAGCCTTTTCCTTCCTAAGGTTTAGAAATTCAGGAGATAATCCCATCTATTCTTCAGGTGGCATTCTACTGAATACCTATTGGCACTACAAGACAAAGCCCACCCATGGCATTGGAAGATACAAGCACCTAATTAAAACATAAGAACCCAAGAAGAAGAGGACAAAAGTCGAAGTGAGGCCCATTAATCTGGGGACAGATTATGAATGTGGTGTTTTAAACATTCACCTGAGTACATATTGTTGCAGGAAGACGAGGCCCAATGGAGAGAAAGAGCACCCAAACACCATGTTTATAAGAGGAAGGGCTTTATTCATCAGCTGGGAGCTTACAGCATAGAAGATTTCCAAATGGCCGTGCTCCCTGACTGGCTTGGTCTTTCCCTTTTTATTGACAGTCAAAAAGTTCCACCCCACAGGTACCCTTCTCATTGGCTAGTTTGAATTAAGCGGGACATGCTAGTCCCGCCCCTACAGAACTACAGGATTTCACAGAACTTGGAAATTTCCAAGTTACAAATTCCTAAGAGCTGAGTCACCATGGAGAGAGAGAACCCCATAGGTGTAACCTCGTGATCTTCTTAAGAAGACCTGTTTTTCCAGACCTCACCCTTCTCGGGTATCCTCTCTCATTCCCCCCTTTTGAGACTCCATATTACATTATATTACTTTTAATTTGGGGTCTCTATCAGCTTGTTTCTGCAGGTGCCGATATTAATTATTTTTTAGCACTAAGATTTTAGGGACTGTGACTTTTCTTAGGTTCTTTATTCAGGCCTTAACAGTACCGTGGTTGTGGGCTCATATACATACAAGTTTTTACTTTTCCCTGTGACATTTTTCCCTCCCTTTTCCCAAAGTCCAAAGTCCAATTAAGACAAGTCCCTTGAGGAGTTTCCTCAGGCTTCAGCCGTGCGTTGCCCAGCTAGCTCCCAGTATGTGGCTGGAGCAGGGCATGTTGACTGTCTTAAAAGTTACCTTTACTTCCCAAGGGGCAGTGAAGTCCTATTCAGCCAGCTGTGATGACTCCAGGTGAGGATTCCTTCCACCTTCACTGCTGTGCATGTGGTCAGTATGATGGTGGAAAGTCCTTTCTACCCTGGTTTCAGGGGGACCAGTTTCTGATTCTAAACCTAGACTTGGTCTCTTTGATCTTCCAGAGAGAAAGGATGTACAGACACTAAAGACTAAACAGAACACGGTTAATTACTCCAGTGGAAATTTTCCTTGCTACACTTTCTAGGGTTTTTGTCTTTTCAGTTCAGTTTTCCCCAGTTCTTTTAGGAGTGCCTGCTAAATTGCAGAGAACTGACAGAGGCCTCTTTGAACACCACCAGTGGCAAGACCTGTATCCAATTAAGCTTTTCTTCCTGGCAGAGTTTACCAATTTCTGCTTTTATGGTCCTGTTCATGCACTTTACCCTGTCTAAGCTTTGAGGCCTATAAGTTATTCAAAGCTTTAGCTTATTATTTGCACTAGTTCTGTTGAGAAGGCCAGCCCATTGTCAAATTTAAACTGAAGTGGCAACCTAAACCATGGTATGATTTTTCTGGGCAATACTTTTGCTAATTCAGGGGTCCTTTTT